TAAAAGGAAAAAAATATTTATTAATAATTCATATGATTTTAAAATATAATGTAAATATAACAGAAAAAAAAAAACAATTAATAATTTATATTAATTAAAATCTAATACAATTATATTTAAATAACATGAAACACAAAGAATGAAAATTTATTTTGAAAACCTGTATTTTCTGACAACTGCCCATAGTATCACCACTGTGGGAAGTTGACAAATTTTTTATGGGCTTCTACTTTGTGGAAAATGTTTTCTTGAAGATCTTAATCAAAGATCTCCTACAGCTGGATTTACTTTGAAAAATTGTATTTTGGATTTTTTAAAATAATTGTTAGATGGTCTTTGTCCCAAGGTTTTTGTATGCTTAATTTCCCTTGGATAATATTTTCCATCCTTATACATTCCTCCCCTGTATAAAGAGACATTGGGTTCACTTTGAAGATCATCCTTGGAAGCACTACTAGTTGAAATCTTCTTCTCTTCTCCTCTTAATTTAAGTTTAATATATAAATTTCTTGTATTGAAGTTGTAATATGCTGCTCACAATCTCATCACTATGGGAATAGAATTTAGTTTTATTTTAATGAAAATTATATTTCAGTCTTATTTATTGTCTTATATTATGTTCCTTATGTCTATTATGAGCTAATTACTTATATGGGTGTGAGTGTGAGTTTAACTTAGGATTTTTATGCATTAATTAAGTGTTTTTACTCTTTAGCACTTCGTAAACCTGGTCATTTAAGACGAGACATAAACTCAATGCGGATGAGCCGATCATTTTGAAGTGTTTATATTAGATATTTGACCCAGAGATAAGCGCATTCGAAATACGACTTAAGTGATGCACAAAGAACTTGAGAGGGTATTTGATAATTACATAGAGATCCAAATTTTGCATGTATTTAGCTAATGATTAAGCATTGGAGATTCATATTACAAAGAGATTTGAGTATGAATTTTATTTCTTCTTCTGTTTAGCTAAATCAACAAGTTATGAAGTGGTGAGAATAGAACTTTGTGGGGACTGTTTATAAATCTTCACTTTCGAGATATTGGAATTTTAATATATATTTCATAAGTTTCTAACTATTATATTGTTAATTTTATCTTAAGAAATACTTACATCCATGCCCATCCTTTATTCTATAAGTTCATTTCGCCAATTTCTTCTTTTAAAGCTTTTTATAAACAAAAATCCAACTTTTATTCACAAACCGAAACACGATCAAGAAGTTCATGAAAGTGTTCGATTCTCAGTAGTTCAATCCCTATGGAAACGATCTCGGTAGTTTACCATTCTATTACTTGCGAGCGATCATAGTGTCGGCATGTACTTGCACCGCCACTGTGGGGGACTTTGTGTCCACTGTGTGAACACGAATGATCCAAAGCTGCCAAGATTTTGGTGCCACTGTCAGGGATTGACACGATTTTTATTCTGAAATATTGATTTTCATTAGAGCCATGGTCATTTGTTTCAATCGTACTTTCCGTGTTGTATGCCACGGCTACAACACGGTGAACTTTTACCCCTCGATCTTGAATTAGAAAGAACCATTAGAAAACGTAGAGGAGGTAGAAATAATCAGAAAAATCCCAATTTAAACTGTACCATGGAGGATAATCTACCTCATCGGGAGGCCACGGTTAAAATTGTCAATGATAAAAATAGAGGCATATGGGACTACGTAACTCCATCATAAGGTCAATTGGCTACGGAAATAGGTAGGCACGAAATGATATCAACAACTTTTGAACCAAAACTGATAATGTTTCATATGATTTTTGCAATGGGTCAGTTTTGGGGATTATCAACGGAAAACCGCAGTCTCATATAAAATCTTTTATATAAATGACGAATCATTTTAAAATTCCCAGAGTCATACAAGAAGCCTTACGCTTGACACTTTTTCTTTACACATTAAAGGATAGAGCTAGAGCATGGCTAAATTATCAACCACTAAACTTGATCCTCACTTGGAATGATTTGGTGGAAAAATATCTAAAAAATACTTTCCTCTGACAAGGAATGTAAAAATTAGAAATGAAATTATGACGTTTTATCAAGAAAAAGATGAAACGGTTCAGACGCATGGGAGAGATTCAAGGACCTTCTACGGCAATGTCCTCATCAAGGAATCCCTCATTGTATTCAATTGGAAACATTTTATAATGAACTTTCCATTGCAGCTAAAATTATTCTTGACTCAATGGCCGATGGAGCTTTCACAACTAAAACTTATAACAAGGGGTATGACATTTTGGAAAGAATTTCTAATAATAATACTGAATGGTCAAATCCTCGTGCTGTTGTTTCAAAATCTGCCTCGGGCATTCACCAACTTGATGTCATCTCTTCTTTAAATGCTCAAATTGTAGCTTTAACTAATTTGGTAAAAAACCAATTTAAACTTAAATGTGGAAAATAATCAAGTTCAATCCATAATGTCCAATCCATCTGTGATCGAATCTTGTGTTTTTTGCGGTGATGGCCAATCTTATGAATATTCCCTCGGAAATCCCGTCTCGGTAAATTATGTTGGGAGTCATGCTAGAAATATCCCATTTTCTCCTACATATAATCCAAATTGGAGGAATCACCCCAATTTTTCTTAGGCCGGAAATCTTGGACTTAAACCCTCCAGGGTAACCCAAATTCAAAATCGGCCACAAAATATCCCGGGATATGGACAAAGTGCTCCTCACAACTACCAAAATGGGCAACCTTCACAATCACATGTGCCTAGGCAAAATGGATCGAACATCAATGGTTCACTCGAATTATTACTCAAAGATTTTATAAACCAAACCAATGCAACATTAAGAAGTTTCGGAACCTAACTTGCCTAATTTGCCTAATTTGCCGTCAATCTCACGGGTAGACCTTTAGAAACTTTGCCTAGTGACACGAAAGCCCCTAAGGTAAGGAGCTGGAAGATTTAGCGGCTTTTGAATAACTTGACTTTGAAGATGAAACCATCCAAGTCCCATCCATAAAGCAAGCCCCGGAGTTAGAATTAAAGCCACTCTCTAGTCACCTTAAGTATATTTATCTTATGGAGGAGGAAAACTTACTAGTAATTATTTCTTCAAAATTAAGTAATAAACAAGAATTAAGGTTGACAAAGGTGTTGAGAGGTCACAAGATAATTTTGGAAGAAAATAGTGTTGGAAATGTGCAACCACAAAGCACATTAAATCCCATCATGAAGGAGGTCGTTAAGAAAGAAATTTTGAAGTGGTTAGATGCGGGTATCATGTACCCCGTTTTTAGTAGTGGTTGGGTGAGTCTGGTACAATGTGTACCAAAGAAAGTGTTGATTCTCTCTCTTATTGATTTGATGACGATCCCTTTTACCTTACGAAGTATAAGATTTATGTTATTCAGTTTTAACGATCATCACTGAGTCTGTTCAGTGAACGCTGAACATGGATTGTAATTCCTTCAGAGATTGTTATACTTCAAAAAGACAAAACTCAACGATGTCGAAGACAAAAGCTGAATATTAGAGACCAGCAAGTTCGTAGCAGCATTCAGTGATTACAAGCTCGTCTATATATGTGTGAAGTCTATGCAAGTTTCAGTGAATACTGAAGAGACCTTTTAGTGTCATTCCAGTATTCAACGATCAAAGAAAACTTACCAAACACGATTGTTTGTCTTGTTCTCCATCACACAAAAGACAAACACATACCTTTTCTAGAGTGTAGTACAGTACGGAGCCACTCCATTGACTCTATAGTGCTTACCTACTTTATGAAAAGAGGAATGCTCATATACAACCAAAATGACTGTTTACTGTAGCAAAGGACAAACTTTCCTCCAAAAGCTTGACACGTGCTTCGTACCTTCTAAATTCCTTTTAACAAGTTTTTAGGGTGCTTTGAAAATATAATGTCGTATTAATTACTTTATAGACACTATTTGAGAAAGTGTCCTATAAGCACAAATGTCCTATAAAAAGATATTGAGAAGCATCATGTAAAATGACTAATAGGACACTTTGTTTTAAAAACGTCTTGTAAAACTTGTTAAAATGCCTAAAAGCGTCATATAAAAGTATTGTAAAACTTTTAGATATGATACTTTATAATTTGATTCTATAAACTTAAATTCTATAAACTATTCTATTAGGACACTTCGACTATCTATACGTCCTATAAAGCCAATTTTCTTGTAGGGTAATAACCTTGATTTTTGAAAATTATGCACTTCATGCACAACACAGTAATGCATATTATAAAAGTTATTGGAAAACAAAAACAACCACGGCGGTGTAGAGTGGATCAACAACTTTTTGAGGTTACCTCTAAACACGCCGATCCCATATATATTGTTTCTAATGGTAGAATAATCAAAAGCATTTCTTTTCGTCAAAGCTTTAAATGTATATTTTCTTATTCACACTCAAATAATTCACTAAAGTTGATAATAATATCAATGAATAGCACAAGTGATTTTGATCTCGTGTTGGATGAGTGTCGTATTAGAAATCTCTCAAAAGATGAAGAAGATTTTGATCTCATAGAGTTTATCAAGTGCCAAAAGTTCTCAAAATATAGGATAAAGTGCTTGAATTTCTCTTTAATTTTCTTTTAATCTCATTTTTGGACATCTTAACGAATCAGAATGTAAAATATATTTACTTTCTTTGCAATACAAGTGTCTTGATTATCTTCTTATAGACGTTCTAGCAGTTCAAATATGAAGTTCTTTGTCATTTTTGAAATCAATAGACATATTTACACACAAATTTCAAAAGATTTGGTCTTTCATTGATTGTCAACCTTTTTATTTCCAAGTGGTAAAAAGACAAATGTCCATTCGGTAAAACAATTTTTACTCTAAACCAAAGTGTTTAAATTCTTTTAATATTAGTATTTTATAAAATTTACAAGAACATATTTTATTTTTGGGGGAGGGGACATCTTATCCCAATTTTTATTTTGCTAGGCCCATTGATTAAAAAAACCCACTTTTTTCGGCTACGAGGTTTTTTGGGATATGAAATCCAACCTAGGAAATTAAATACAAGATCCCAATTTTTTTTAACTACCGAGAGCTTTGATACATTTCGAAATCAAGAGATGTCTACCGGGGGCAGTTCTATCAGACAACATATAGCCAATCTAGATTTACGAATTATTATAGATTATTCATTGGTAGAATGGAAAGAATTGGAGGAAGAGGAACCCACAGGGAATCATGCGAAATAGAGAATTCTTTTATTATCTTATATCATCAAGGTAATGATCAATCAACCTCCTGGTTCTTTTTCTGAAGTAGCAACAAGAGAATTCATCTAGAAGTGGGAGAACTGCTGAAAGGGTTATATGGATTAATAAGTTGTGAAGAATTTAACCATAAATAATCTCTTAACCAGCCCATCAAATAAGTAGAAGATTCATTAAACTGCGAAACATTACCCTGCCATAATGCAATGTGCTTCCGATATCAATAAAAAGTAACCCATCCAATGTACTTAACATCCAAAAAACCTGCCAAATAAAATTCTCCAAGCCGAAATACCACAAGTACTGCCTCGTCCTGGGCTCTCACACGGAAAACTATAACCGAAATCCTTTTTATCTGACATTATATTGGAACCACGTGCATCTAACACACCTTTTACTAAGATTAACGTAGTTGTATGTAAACTCAGAGAATAGCAAGATGAACCAAAAAGTCTCCGGGACCTATTGTTAGGAATACATAGAGTTAAACATAGTAAAATAAGAAATTGAAAGATTTCGTTGAAATTGTTCATTTGGAAATTTCCCAAAAAGCTAATCATAGGTTCCTCTCTCCATCAGAACAATAGGGCAATTATGCTCATTACTAAACTTGTTGAAAAGATGAAATATAACCATCGTGTATCTTTTTGATTAGAGGTTGAGACGATCATCAGAAGAAGAATTAGGCCAAACATTTTTTAAAGTTATTTTATATTTTATTTATTATTATAATAATTACGTATATTATAAATATAATATAAAAAGTGGTGGACAAACAAAAGAGGATGTGCAAATTTGCTGAGTAAATAGAACTTCTTCAATGAACTTATAATAAAAATCTTCTAATTATTAAGAACTCAACGAATTTCCTTCTTTGTTTGTATGATTTGAGGGAGAAGGTCCCAGTTCAAAATTTGACCTAATTATTAGAAATCAAGGTATTGAATATTTGGACTAAATCATGAAATTCGAAACTCTCCATTATGCAATAAAACCCTAAAATGCCTAATGATAAACCAAAATCGCCAACACCTTTTTTGGGTTGGATTGCTAAACTTTAGTTTAATATATGGATAGATGTATGATCCAGCATACCCATTTGTAAAACAAAAAAACCAAATTCCATTCTCCCCCGACTCCATGTACGAATAAAGTAGTAAAGGGGTAGTAATATAATAAATCATATATTATCAATGAGTTCGTGGTAAAATCCCTGTATGATGTATTTTAGTACAACTTTTGGCTAATATAGGGATCAAATGATATAGTTCATTTGTTGGTAGCTTGGATTGGAGCATTAAAAGCATGACTCTTGCTTTCCAATTGGTTGTTTTTGCATTAATTGCTACTTCATCAATCTTATTGACTAGTGTTCGGAATTTGAATGATTAGAAAGATAAAAAAAGACCATGATTATGAATTTTATCCATTTTTTTGGTCCTTATTAGGTTTAGGTTCAACCTTAATATTGTTTTAGATATTACAAACCAAATATTTTCTATCTGGATTTTTTTTCATATATAACTTTTTCTTAGGTAATTATTCATAGGAATATTCTTGAGTATGTTAAAAAAATTCTTTATTTATGTTGGAAGTTTCTCGGTTCTTATTTGTTTCTAATGATGATTTATAAATATAGTTCTTCTTAGTTTCAGAATGAATATATTTATATGATAAAAGATTATATCTAAAGTTTTTTTTTTCGAAAATTCTCCTATTTATTTGGTAATAAATATACTTTCAATTTTTTTTGTAATCAACTAATTGGTCTTTTTCATAGGAATACCATTGTTTAAATCTTCATTTTGAGATGTTGAGTAAATAGAACTTCTTCAATAAACTTATAAAAAAAATCTTCTAATTCTTAAGAACTCAATGGACTCCCTTTTTTTGTTTGTCTGATTT